CTTATTCTCAGTTTCTGTAGTGTGAAGCGGTTGAGAGTTGTACTCCCCCTGGACGGGACACTAGTCCTCCGCAGGTTAGTCCCCAGCAGTTTGTCGGTACACATTGACACAAACAAATCTGCACAGCAAAGACTCAAAACCCCGACCTTTCCATTGAAAGCCCGAACCTCAACCGCTGCGCCAAACTGCTGCTACACATATATTAGTGCTGTAATCTTAAAAAAATATATATTCTATTATTAATCCATATTATGTTAACTTAGGCATAGGCCTATATGTTTTTGCTTCCCTGTTGACTTATTGATTTAGGCATCGACGGCTCTACTATAGGCCTACAGCTTCATTATGTTAACCTTGTTTTAGTGGTTCTATTGTTTTATCATCATTCAACAGTTACTTGTTTTGTAGATACAGTATTCACGCCCATGCTTTTTTCTTATGTCTTTTGTAATAAAGTATGCTTCTTATAAGTTCCGCCGTTCACACCCGTGTCATTACCTGATGAAGAGCTATGCTCGAAATGTATTATTTTGAATAAATATTGGCAATACAGTATCTTATTTTACGCTTTGTGTTATTATTTGACTAAGTATTCTTGCACAGCTGTGGTGAAAACTTTGGGGTCTTCAATTGAGATATCTCGTGGTATTGCATTCCATTCTTTAAGAGTTCTTGGTTAAATACTACTTGTATGTATCTTTGAATGCTATGGAAAGCAATGGCTGTGATTAGTTTGGCGGAGTGTAAGAGTTCGGACAGATTCTCTTGGTAGACGTGTTTAATTTCTTTCTTCTTGACTTAAAAGTTCCCATTCAGGTTGTTTAAAAAACTAGTTATTGTCTATGCGTACAGAAAGAAAGCAAATAGAATCAGTGTTAGAAATTCTGATTATTGGTTATTAAATAATTTTCATTTTTCTTGCAGGTTTTGATGTCATGATTGATATTAGTTCTTATACTGCTGCTAACAATGTCACAATCACATGTTCTTCAAATGGCTATCCACCTCTCATGATAAATCTCTCTAAGGATGGCCATGTTATCAAGACAGAAAATGATTCACTTCTAATACATAAGATAGAAATTGTAACAGAGAGTGATGGAGGAAGCTACAAATGTACAGTGACAAACAGAATTGATTGTACTAAAGAAAGTGAAACAAAATTTCTCAATTACTGTAAGTATAGCAATATTTGATAAAAAAGGTTCATATGGTTTCTAGATAAATTATTTTCTCCTTTTAATTATACCAGAAAATAAAACACAATTAGAAACATATCCGTGTCGTATACATTTATCTGAGGATGATGAAACAGTAAATTCTTTTATAATGTCTATGTTTTAAAATAAATTAAAAGTACATCAAACCTGTCGATGTTGTTGACAGGATTTTGCCGAACCTAATGTGTAGGTTACTGTCAATAAGAATAACATATAAAATGTAAGATTTTTTTTAATGAGATGGAATCTTGGTATACTTTTTCAAAAAATTAAAACTACGAGTCATGAAAGAATTTGTTCTTCAATTATTGACGTAGATTTCTATTGAAATGAAAAACCCTTTTCCAGTGTTTGGTAATTTAAAGTAGATTTGACAGCATAGCGGTATTCAAGTGCAATATATTTACTCTAAATTCCTATATATAATCATAGAGAAAATAGAACATTTTCTCTATTATATAATGTAACATATCAGTACAAGGGTGGCGCCAGCGGGGGACCAGGCCCCCCCCCCCTGTCGGGCAAATCCTGGCGCCACCCCTGTATCAGTATCATTGGAATTTTGATTTTGTGTAAATGTCAGAGTCAGCAATAACTAGTGCTGTTCATTACAAATTCAGTTTAGTTTGATTTACTTGCTTTCGTCAGAAATTAAAGAAATAAAAATAAATATAAAATAAAATATATGCATTTGTGTAGGATAATGTTAGCATAAAAGTGAATCTTGGCTCTCCAAGTAAACACCAGCAGTGATTGTCAACGGATCCCATCAGCATATTGCAGTATGACAAGGAATTTCATAAAATAAAAGGACAAGACGAGTTTCTTACATCTCGTGGTACTATGGTGTGCTGCAATTGGTTGCTTGTCGCTGTGTATATAACAAAACCACTTTTGTTGTATACACAGCCGCTGTACGTATAGCCAGTCTCATAATGAATTGATTCGTTTAGACGTCTAGAACGCTACCAATGTGATGCCGAGCATTGAACCCAAGAAAATCAAATTTGACTGCTTAATAAAATATTTTACAACATTTATAGGCCTACCTTACTCAATTTTTAAGGTAATATAAGCCTCGCCTGTATTGCTCGGTTTGTAGGTTTCTATTTAAGTTGTTCCGCATTTAACGGCTGAAATAATACTCTGATAATGTCTTATTAGGCTTACAGTTAAAAATAAGTCTGCTGTCAATAGTTATATCGTTCCTATCTCAATTAACAACAAAGCACAGGATACTAATAATAAATATTCATGAAGACCAACAAATAAAATCCCCTGTTAATGATATGAACAAAAATCAGGCCCGTAGGCAGGGGGGTGCAGAGGGTTGGAATGCACCCCCCCCCCCCCAAATTCCAAAAGGTCCACTTTTTAAAACCTATGATTGCACAAAATCATTCACAATTATCACAAAATGCTGTAGCATGCATTGCATTATATATTTGCCAGCTTATCTAACTGTTGATTTTTAATAATGTGGTATGAAATTTGTCTCCGGTAATTGCAGATTAATCTATATAATATGAAGAATGTTATCTATAGGCCTGCAGATTTACAGGACATAATAACGTTACTTTTTCAGGTCCCAAAAACAACCAAATTAATGAAAATTTAAATGAAATATTCATGAATTATGTGTTTGAGAAAATTATTATGTAAGACCCTCAAAATGCTACTTTGTCGCTTTTCTCACAAACCCCCTCCAAAAAGTCCACTTTTTAAAGCCTGTTATTTCACAAAAATCGTTCCTAATTATCGCAAAATGCTATAGTATGCATTAAATTTTTTGCCTTCTCTTCTACCCGTTGATTTTTAATAATGTGCTACGAAATCTGTTGGGAATTATCAGCTCCAGTGATTGTAGGCCTACAAATGTAAAGGACATGAAAAATTATAATTTCACAGTGGTGGATTCAAGGGGGGAGAGCCCCCTGAAATTATAAAAGAAATAGAGAAAAAAGAAAAATCATAATTAAAGTTTGTCTGAGAGTGCCATTTCCTGTGCTATAGGCTGGTAAGGATCAAATAAATTATTTAATAACTTCACTAACAAACAGCCTCCTCAATTACTTTAGATACAAAAGATATGTTAGTAACAGGTCGATAAATGACAAATGAGTGAAGATCTAATGTTGATTTCCTCAAGAGTGAAGTTATGACACCAATCTTTAAAGGATCAGGAAAATGCCAGATGAAAGAAATGAATTAATTAATACCCAAAATCAAGAGGCAGCACAATTGAGTTTACAAATGATCTTGGTAAAGAATGTAAATCACAAGATTTATATAGCACAGAAGCTTGGCCACCTCATTTTCATTGACTGTCTCAAAGGTATCCAGTTTGTTAATGCTATGATATGAGGGAGATGATATGGCGCTAAAGACTGAATTATGGTCATTATTATCAGAGATATTCTGACGCAGTTAAATTTTGTTGACAAAAGCGCGTTGAAATCCGTATAATTGAAATGCACTGGAGAAGGTGGTCAATACAGTCGTCCTCCCAAGTAGCTTGTTGGCTATCTTGAACAGGACGCTCTGATCACTACCACCTCCATCGATCTTAGATTGAAGGTATGTAGCCCGAGAGTACGATGGTAAAGATTACATTGAAGGCTGTACTCTGCAAGATCACCTTGAGCTTGAGATTTCAGCAATATGTGTTCGGCTCTGCGTCTTTCCTGCTTGGCTATTTTACAGTTGTCAGTGAACCATGCTTTCGCCAACACAGACTGCTGCTTTCATCAGGTGCAGTCATTTATTTTAAGCATTGGTATTTAAACAAACTCGGAAACATAGAAAAATAATAATAATAATAATAATAATAATAATAATAATAATAATTAAGATACTTAAAACGATTCATTCAGAATTTTAATTTCTTAAACAATTACTCTATTTGTGTATTTAGATCCACCTGAATATGTTGATTACATTACTGTTGCTCCTGGTGAGAATGCCACTATTGCACCAGACATTTTAGCTAATCCTAATGAATTCACTTACCAATGGATCACTGAATTGAATGATACAGACACAGACCCAGCGACCTTCACATTCAAGGCATCAGACGTTGTTGGCACAAACTATACAGTAACAGTGAATGCTACTAATAACATTGGATCAGCAACTAAATTATTCAAAGTCACTGTCTCAAGTATGCTTTTAAGATTATAAATTAATTAAGTTGAAACTGATTTTCCATGCATGCTTATAGTATGAATGAAGGAGGAAGAAAATGTTGGTACAGTAGTAATTTGTTAATTTTAATTTTTAAATAATTTCTGCACAATGAATTACTTAGAAATGTATTTAATCGAATATGGATTTGAGAGATTATTGTTAAAATTTTCTGTTTTACAAAACAAAAGTACTTTTTGCTTATCATAATCCTCTTGTGATATAATTACATTTGTTGATCAGAACGATTTCCAGTGCAAGTCTATATTATTATACCATTTACAAATCCACATTCCTCCTCTTTGGCCTCCTTCATTACCACCTCCACCTTCTTCGCCTTCTACCAATATTACTGCTACTGCTTCTCCCACCACCAACTCTACCACTGCCATATTAAAAATAATAATAATAATAATTAGTGGTGCTATAGGAAAAAAAATTAAAGCGTGAACAATCCATAGGTTAACTTATAATAATCAATGATATATTTAATATAATGTACCTTATTTTTTTTAATTTAATTTTTTTTAGGTGTTGACTATTGTGTTTCTAATCCATGTGGAAATAAAGGGACTTGTATACCTGCTAATCTTGCGTTTACTTGTGAATGTGAACAAGGCTACAGTGGGAGATATTGTGAAAATAGCATTTACGGTGAGTATCGTAAATGACACGAACTTAGGGTACTGCTTTTCATCATATCGATAAGCATCATCGTAAAAAAGTTTTTATTTGCTAGGGACATTTCATCACATGTACAGCATTTATTTTTTATGTATTTTTTTAATATATTTTATAGCACATTTAAGGTTTTTCAATGTTGTTTATGTAAAACTCAGCAACATAATAAGGAGAAGGAAGTGCCATGGGGATGGATAGGTCATACTTTAAGGAAAGGTCCTACAAATGTCACCAAGCAGGCCCTAGACTACAACCCGCAGTGGAAAAGAAAACAGGGCAGACCCAAGAACAACAGGCGTCGCTCTACTCTACAAAACCTGAAAAATATCCGTTCCATGATGGGAGGAGATGGGGGAACCAAAGCTGCGGCACAGAGACGGATGGGAAGGAGACTCATGGTGGACGCCCTATGCTTCCCAGGGGGCCAAGAGGATTAAGTCAGTCTTATGTAAAACTAAAATCACTAATTACGTAACATCAATTTTATTAGAGTGTTCTTGCTGTTTCGATTTAATAATGGCACGGGAAGGATTGTAATCCCATATACGGCTTAACAAAAAATTATTTATTTCCTTATTCATTACCGTATATACAGCGTATTATCCAATTGACATCATCATCTATTATTTTCATTTATCGTTGTAATTGGTGTTGTTACTTCCCTACTTGAATATACTTCATTAAACATTCTATACTAAAATAATGAAAATAAATAAATAAATAAAATGAAATAGAATAATTATGTTATACTTAGACCTATAGCCTATAGCTATTCACACTATAAAACCTGGCATTGAATTAATCCCATATAATACGTACCCTAGACAAAATTCCATGATGCTGAGCTGTAAGATCTGCGCATTTCTACATCTCTCTTTATTGTCTTTTATTTTATTTCTTCAAACACATATTTACAATAAATATAATTATTTTCAAACAAAAAATAAAAGCTTTCGCTTATCGAGTTTTGGCATAACATAAATTGAAATACTGAATTGATAGAGGGTAAAGCACTGAAAACAAATTTTGTGTTTACGATTACCATACACCCACTTTTACTCTGGATGAAGAGAGACAACCGTATGTAAAGCGCCTGGGACACAGGCGAAATGTACAGGGAAATTGAGAAGAACTGCACCCACTGCGCTAAACCGCATTATTATGATTGAAGTTGTATGACATTTACTGTTATATCTTCATCCCTTCCAGGCACAAGTTTGACAATTGGAATGTTGTTTGTGGGCATAATTGTTGGGGCCTTCGGAGTAATTGGTGGATTGATCGGCTACACGAGGATTAAACGGGTTTGTCAGATATCAAAACAAATTCTTGTTCGTGATATTTTTAATAGTGTGCTTTCAACACATTAATACATAACACCTCCTCCCATTTCTGTTCAGTCAAATGATCCAAATTAAAATAAGCAAATCTTGTACAAATGTGTCATGCAAATCCAGCCTAATGTCTGCAAAGTGACTTATGAAAATGAACAGATTTTTTTTTAAACCCATCACGGGTTGAAAATTTATAGGAAAAGGACAAATGGTCTTTCACAAGTAGGCCTACAAAGTAAACTTTTTTTCTTGTTTGTCGTAGTGTTAAAGGTACTTTAAAGTTTCATTTTTTTATGGCGGGCTTTCCGCTGTTTAATGAGCAGTTTAATAAACAAACAAATAACAATGTGTGTTGACAACATAATACTAAAGACAGAACCAAACAAAAAATAGAATGACAGAAAGAAATTACTGTAAATTCGTAACAATGATTATTTTTTATTTCAATTCAGAAGGCACAAATAGGCAAGAGGAGTGCGAACCAGAGACAGAACTTAGATGTAAGCTCTTAATATTCTAATTCACCTCATCTTTGTCACATATCCTCTTTATGTCACGTGCACAAAGCCTGCTTCTGTAAATTTAGTAGGCTTATTGTTTTGTCAAATGATTCTGGTAGATAGTTTGTATTCAAATTTCTGTTAGGGTCCGGACTAGTTGTAGTTTTTTTTTTTTTCACTGGTCCTCCTTCCTACAATCAGTAGCATGCTATCGCGCTGGTCTGTAGTGGACAAACAAGCTCTACTCTACCACTAAAACAGGCCAAATGGCAGCTGTATTCTACGGATTAATGAAAATTATTGTAAACTTGTAAAATATATTGTTTTATACAGAGTGATAATAAAGTATTGCAAATAGGTATTTATTCTAATTCTTTGCGACTTTTGAAACAATGATAATAAATTATTGCACATAATATTTATCTATTCTAAAGGAATTTGAAACTCCCTCATTGTATTCATTTTTTCCTTTTAATTCACACTACAGTATTACCAAATATCAATTTACCAACAAGTAGCAATGACCTAAATTGCATTGATATATTACGTTTCATATCTCAATACAGACTTACATGGACTACGTAGTAGATGATCAAACTGCTGGCAATGAAAACCAAACTTACCAAGATCTACAACACAGAGAAGAAACAGATTATGTTAATGCGATGCCGAGAAAGAAATAAAAGTAGAGAGAACAGTAGCTAGTTGGAGTGAATGTTTGTTACTTGCTCATTATAATCCCAGCAAAATTTATCACTGATGATTGTACAACCACGAATCCAAGAATTGTTTTAAGCTCTGTCCATGGACCTATTGATAAGATAGCTTATTAATAGGTCCATGCTCTGTCCAAATTAGGCATTTTTTTTTTATTTTTTTTTTTTATTTTTGATTTTTTTTTAAAACAAAATATGTACTATGTCTACGTAAAAGTCATGATGTGCCTATTTGGTGATGATAATGATGTCATCAGACTTATTTAGACATGTCACATGTGTTTTTAAAAAATAACATTTGATAGTCTGGACAGGGCTTAAGTCCACGTGTCGCTCCAAATATCATACATAACTCGCGTAGATTCATATTATATTATTATATTTAAAACACTATGCTTAGAAAAGGTAGCATATGATGAAGTTGACAAAGCACATAGTTAGACAACACTTTAATATACTTTTTTAACAACCTTTATCACCGTTTATAATTTTGGACTAGACAAAAGTTTGAATGTAATGAATCCCATATATCAAACTTCGACGTTTATATAATCATGTACTATTTTGAGTAAGGACAAAATGTTTGTGCCGATTTACCGTCCAGACGCGTGCACAGCTCTGGAAGAAATGTACTCTGGGAGAAATATATCGTAGCAAATGTCTTAGCATTATTGGCATATTTTGAGGTTATATGCATGTCTATTAAAGTATCATTAATAATAAATATTGGACGAGGTCTGGTCACGCTACAAAAGCAGCATGTGTGAGAAGTCATTATACAAATTCCGTTCATACTGTACAGTAAAAGCAGCAGAGTATTAAGTATGTAGTAGGTAAGTGGCACTTTAGTGAGTGCGACTGACACAATCTCGTTTATTTTTACGAAATACAATGGAATAAAATATATTGACCATGTTAATCACTAAAATAAGTCAATATGTGAAATATTGCTGAATATATAAATAAAATGAAGTCTATATATAGACTACATCATTCACAACATTTTAGCATGTATTGAATAATCTATTTACCATATGTTTACCAGTAGGCATAGTATCTTACCTGCTTTGACTTTATAACCACAATTATTATTGGCTATATTTAATATATAATAATTTGCAAACGTCTTTCTAAAATTAAAGTTAAAGACGAAACCGTATTTAATATTTGCTTTAGAATGTGCAGTATTTGGCCAACTGAGCTTTAAAAAATGATTATTTTATGGGCGGATCCATAGGGATGAAGGCCGTCGACGTCCGGTTTTCCCACCACCCTTAACATGTTAAAGCAGGGGATGATTTAGGGGGTGGGCCAGCGCCCTCCCCCTTTTGGAAAGTAAACTAAAGAAAAAAATTGGATCGCCCAAATATTTATTTTGTATACAAAATTATTTTGGCATTTTTAAAGTTTCATAAAGTATTTGTTACCCTTATCAGTGTATTGATGTATTTATTCAGATTAGAGAAGCTTACTCCATATTCCACGCTTGCAATCCTGTTTTCTTGGCACACCACTGTAGGCCTAAATTATAGAGCTTGTAACTAGGTACTCAAGGAATATATTCAACATGCTGGAATATATTTTGTTTGCTTATTTTTGCTTCAAACTATTTAGTATTTTGTCATTCAATTTTAAAGTATTGGTAATAACACTCATTCAATGAGGTGTGTCACACTTGCACTGGAAATCCTTACCTCTCATCTCTTTTTTAACCATTCGTCTTTCTGCAATTATCATTTTTCTATCTAATTTATCTATATTTTTCCATACATCATCTTATTATCATTATCTTATTTGGTATCTTTCTGCCTTTTTCTTCATGTTTCTATTTTCTTACCCTCTACTGACTCACCCATTCATCCCCCCCACCCCCCGGATTGCAAATTTCTTATTTTATCATGAATAAAAAGTGTAGCCGCGTTGGTCTTCTATAGAACAACGTAGGAAATGACAACAGTACTTTTAACACTAATTTGTATAGAATTATCCTTCACACATTAATCTGTGGACTTAATCAGGACACATCCAATTTGCACAGTCTCCTGATGAAGTCCACTTGTGGACAAAAGCTGGAGAATACATTTTAAAATCAAGTTAATCTTAAAAGTGCTGTTGTCATTTCTTATATAATTCTGTTCCTCTTGTCTGTCATTTTTCGGAGTCACCATACTCATATATTATTTACATTATGTTTTGCTGTTACATTTCCGAAAATTTTATTATGCAATATTTAGTAATAATAATGAATAGTGTACAATAATCCTTTGTTTTTTATAGTATTTCGTAGTTTCACTATGATAAGAGAGCAAACAGTGTTTTTCCATTTCTTTTTTAACGCATTTCTATTGTTAATATTGATTATTATTTCTGTTTTAATGCAATATGGTACACAGTAAGCCACAACACACACATGCACATGTCGAATGTTTATATGGTATAGGCCTATTACTGTATTAATTAGGCCATTGGATTGGTTATAACATAGAGAAAATAGTTCTGTTCTATTTTCTCTATGGTTATAAGCGTAAATTTATATGATCGTTCAAATTTGTTTGAAAAAATGAAATCTTATTTCTTTAATATGTTAGCATTCTTCTCAGTTATATTCGGCAAATTATTTCCCGAAATATTACATATTCGTATAAGTGAATAATTGCTTACGCTACTACTATTTTGTGGCAAACAAATAAACTAATTATTTAGTAAATTTGTCTAGATTTGTGATTATGTCTCCACCATTCGCTATATACCTTCTTTTAAATTAAAGCAGTATTTTACTGAATTATTATTACACGACACTAAAAATGGGTGAGAAATATAGTCTTCATCTGTTGTATAATATGTTAATTCAATCGAAAACAAAACAAAACAAACAATCCCAGCAATGACCCATGAATGGAATGTAATTTTAAATTGGTGTACACATTTGTTTGTATTTGATATTTGGTTTTAATGGCTGGAGAATCTCTCGATATTTGGCTCACTTCTTGATCCGTACTTCTAAAATAATAATAATAATTGTTTTCTGTTTTGTGATTGAAAGATGATGTAAATGAAATGAATTAATCAAGCGCCCTGAGCATCTTATATTACGCCGTGTAAGTGAACACACCCTTAGATGAATACGGCATAAAATCTACGCTATTTTATTATTTTCTTCCAACACTCTATACATTTTTTTTCATTCTCCATGGCATTAATTGCTTCATTCTTTTCTCTCGTAACATATTTATAATAAATATAGGTCTATGCACTGATACCGAAATTACGTATATCAATTGAAATTAAGAAAAAAAGAAACAAGTTGGTCAAACAATAGTATGTGGACCGAAATTAAACTGAAAAGAGGCCACAGTCATGTTTGAGGTACAGTAGGACGTCAGTTGACCCAAGATGACGTTATGATTTTCCCCGTACGCAAATATTTGTAGTTCATCCCTGACACCAGGAAAGGACTAAAAACATTTCAACAGACAATAAAGCATGTTGTGAGGATACGCTTGCAGACATTGAGCGTTATATTGACTTTTCTAGATTTCATTCTATTTGTCAAAGAAAGAAGTACAATGATAACCAAACTGATTTCTATTCGATAATGATTTAGATTTAGAGAAACAAACGAAAAAGAAAAAAATGTTTAAAACTCTCATGGTGAGGCTGCAAAACCTTGCCCGGTGTTATACCAAATTCTCCATCCAGAGGCGGCAGCCTAGAAACCAGAATAATTGTTGTACTAAATAAAGAGAATATATTCATAGTAATAATCCAATATAATCTCAACCATAGTGATTAGAATAAGATATAAATATATTTGTATTTGAAGGTATGTTGTAGTCTTTTTAGAAATATTCATAGTACAATAGGCAACACATCAAACAGAGTTAGGAATTCAAGTTTCTTGTTGTGGTCTACAATCTTTAAAAAGTATGCCAATAAGTTTTGTGTTCAGATCATGATTGTATTGAATACAACAATTTTGTAGATGTCTAGAAGCCAATATTGAATATGGTGACATTAGCCTTAAATTCATTAATGATTATCGAATAACTTTTCTATTATTTGTTGATATAAAATAATAATTATATTTATTTGACATTACATTTTACAACGGTGGCAGCACACAAGAAAGTGGCACAGTCAAATTATTGAACAAAGAGGAAAACAACAACTTAAAGCTAAACGAATGAAAGAACTAAAGAAAATACAATTTAGAGTTTAAATAAATCATAAACATCCCTCACCCTCCCCACACAAACAATGTTCATAATACACATTACGTGCATAAGTAAACGTACATCACCACCCAATATGTATATATATATATATATATATATACATATATAT